CTTTACCTGGTCTAGGCATTATTGATGGTAGAAAGCTGTGTGTACCTTCCATGAAGGAAAACATTTTGGTGGAAGTTCCCAAACACATTTCTTTAAAGTAAAATTTTGTGTTCGAACTTTTCCACAAGAATTGTTTTTGACCAACCATGCTTACAAAAGACATTTAAAAAAGTCCTCCCAGAAAGAATTTCCTTGGCATTCCCTAACTGCAAGGAAACTGGAGACATTGTACCAAATAGTGCATGATTTCAGTGAAGGGGTAAAGAGCCCTATTTTTAGTCTCTCTCAAACATTTTAAGAGAGCTTGTAGAAGTTACATCCTTGATACTTTAGTTATTCCTGGCACACACAGGCTGTTCTGGAGAGCATGCCCTTGGTGAGTGCTGAGGATCCTAGCAGTATTGTGTCAAGGGTACAAATTGATCTGAAATGAAATTTCAGGGCATTTTTCCATATGGATGTTATGGATCGTTCCACTGTATTGGTTAATTGGGGTCTAGTGGTGTCACTGGGATTCTGGAAGCATAAATTAGTGTCATCCTCAGAACCAGAGCTAAGTGGTGTATTTTATTGGTTATTCCTTTTAGATCTAATGTAATTTCAGGTATTTGTAAGATTAAAAACAGAGGCCTAATATGATAGATTCTGTAAGTGGCTAGATTGGGTGCTTGAGAGCAATTAATATTGAGGAAAGTCTTTCTTGTGTTATTTTGGTCTTAGGGAGGAAAGGCCCTCTCAGACTAATGCTTAAAGATACCCCAGAATACTGGTATTGCTACTTCACCAATCATTTAAAAAAACCCCCAAAAAACAGTATTTTAAAATTTGAAAAATTAGGAGTAATACAAGGACTTAAATAAATGTTGTGGGTTTTTTTCCACCCCTTCTTTTCTCATCATGGCTTTTAGTCCGTGAGCTCTCAGTGTCCACTGGAATAGTAATAATCCCCGGGTAGTAACAGAAGTAATCTAAGTAACAGGAGTTGTCAATCCTGCTTCAGATTTCATCTTTAATTAAGAAAGCAGGTAATTATTTTATGTAAAATATATAAAAGAGAAGTGAGCAAGCAGATAATGATGTGCATCCCTCCAATCAGTTTTCCTAGTTCCCTTTCAACAGTACAGTGTTTGTGCTGTACATCAAGCATGAAATGAGAAGAGAGGGGACCTGGGAGCAGTGTATGCAAAGGTGGCTGAGAGAGCCAAGGATGGGGAAGTGAGTTCTGAATTTTCTTTGTGTTTTCTATCAAGCAGAGTTCTGCTTAGTGCCCTGCCATGTTCCTGACAGCTCCAAGGATTCTGCTCGTTCTCATCATAAATTGGTTTCTGCAGTTACAAATCCAAGAGTAAAAGTACAGCTACTAATTGAATGTAAAAGCTTTCTGACTCGGCTCACAGCTTACTCTGGGGCTGCTTTGCATCTGCTTGCAGGCCATAAGCAGGACTGAGTTTTCTGTTTACAAACAGTGCATTTGCTCTGCTGAGACTGCCCATTTAGGGAAAAAACTAAAAAGAAAAAGCATCTGAAAATGTAGTGTCATCATGTATTTGAAACATTCAATGGGATGTAATCTATCAATTACATAATTCAGTGGTTTGTAATCCAAACCAAAACTGAGGTTTTACCACAGTAGGTTATGCTGCAGTCTGAACTTGCTGTACTTCCTTGGTAGGCATATTGTCAATGGAAAAGATGCAGAGCTGTTTTTAATCTTAAAAGCAGCAATTATTTTCTTCTTCTAAGATTTACTGTCTTGAAGCTCTAAACAGTGCAGGTAGTATTTTCAAAGATAAAACAGTTCTTGTTTTTTGTTTTGTTTTGTTTATAAATTCTGAAAGATTGTCAGGGTGTTACTCAGAGGCAGGATAAGTGCACCACAGTCAGCTGTGGTTGGAAAACTTGAATCTGTCAGTACACAGAAGATTAAAACTTTTTGAGGCATGTTTTCAGAATACAAAATAAATAAATAGGTTCTATCTGCCAAAACTGTTATTCATGTAAAGAACTGACTGGAATATGAAGATACAACTGTGGGAAACTTGTGCTTAAGAATAACATTATTTCAAATTTTATTTGACTTTGAGTGGTTTTACGCTCTGGCTGTCTACAAAGAATGATTTTGATGATGCAGATAATTGCAAATGGAATTTTTTGCAAACTTTTGGCAAATCTGTTCATTCACTGTGAGTGAATTTTGCTGCTGAAAGGCTTTTCCACATGCAAAAGGAGTTCATGACGAAGGATTTCTGTGTGAAGGAGTTTCTGCAGAGGGGCTGCTCTGGTTTCCTGTTTTGGGAAAGCTTTGCAGAGAAAGTGTTTTCTGGCTGTGGATGCAATATGCATTATAACTTCAGCAGATAAATTGTTCTGGATCAGGCAGATAATGGCTCCAGTGGGCAGCAGGGTGCTCAATGATGAATTGTGTTTTGACACTCACTGCTTCTTCACGATTTCACTTCCAGTCAGTTGCTTCCATTTGCCTCTATTGTAATTTATCATTCACATCACTACACTTCTTACTCTTACACTCTTGGTGTGTTCTGTTTGTCTCCTTGCCTTTTGCATGTCCCCAGTGTGGTAGGCTCTGTGTCACTGCCATCCCAGATGCTACGATGCCCCTCTCACCCTACATTTCCTCTGAATACTCTGTGGTCCCCATGCTAGCACTGCCAGTCCAAACCTCAGTGGGACTGGACCAGACTGTGGAAAATCATGTCCTCTATAGCTAGTTCTGATGTTTTGGTATTATGGGGCTCACTTGAAACTTTCTTGGTTAGTTCTCAGTGGCCTGGGAGTGGAAATACTAACTAGGATAAAAATCAGTGATTATATATGTTCCTGTTCCCAGTGGCGGTGCTTATGAGTAAATATTTGGTTGTCTGATAAAAATGAAATATTTTGCTTCTTGAGATGTGAGCATACATTTGATTAAGGAGCCAATATGAAAGAAAATCATTTTGAGTCAGAAAATGAAAACAGGTTTTCTGGAAAATGTGCTTTGGAAAAATGATTATAAAGGGCAGCAGATACTTAGAGCTGCTTCTAAATCTGAAGAAGTAGATAAAACCTGCAGGTGCAACTAAAAACAGAAGTTACAGCCTTGTGATTATCTTCAAGTCTCTGGAGGAGGCTGTATCAGTAGTAACTAATTTTTATGTGTTGTGCTTTAGCCCTAGCCAGCAGCCAAGCCCCAGGCAGCCGATCACTCTCTCCCCTGCCAGTGGGAGTGGGGAGAGAATGGGAAGGGTAAAAATGAGAAAACTTGTGGGTTGAGATAAAGACAGTTTAATGGGAAAAGCAAAAACTGTGCACACAAGCAAAGCAAAGCAAGGAGTTAATTCACTACTTCCCATGGACAGACAGGTATTCAGCCATCTCCAGGAGAGCAGGGCCCCATCTTACTTAGTGGTTACTTGGGAAGACAAATGCAATCATTCCAAACATACCCTCCCTCCTCCTTTCTCCTTCCCCCCACTTTATATCCTGAATGAGATGCCATATAGCCTGGAATATCCCTTTGGTCAGTTTGTATCACCTGTCCCAGCTGTGTCTCCTCCCAGCCTCTTGTGCACCCCCAGCCTCCTCACCAGTGTGGCTGTAGGAAAAGCAGCAAAGGCCTTGGCTCTGTGTAAGCCCTGCTCAGCAAAAACAAAAACATCTCTGTATTATCAACCCTGTGTTCAGTTCAGCACAAATCTAAAACATAGCCCTGTACTAGCCACTGGGAAGAAAACTCTATCCCAGCTGAAACTAGCACAGTATGTAATGAAGGATATTTTTACTAAACCTACCGTAATTCCTGATCTATAAGGAAGCTAAAGTCCACAGGCATCAGCTAAAAATGGGACCCTAATAGAGATGCTCTCAATGTCTTTTAGAATAGTTTCTCTCTCTCCACAGACAATATAGAGGCTAGAGGTACTGTCAGGAGAGGTTCATGTGATTCAGCATTATGTATACACCTAAATGTTTTCTATGCACTTCCCCTCACTGGAGTTGACATAAATGTGAATTTCTGTGCAGATATGGAAAGACAAAAGAAAGTTTCTGATTACTGAGACAGCATTTGGCTATCTAATTAATTGTTGCTACTGTCAGAACTACCTTTCTAGAAGGAATCTAACTGTGACTTTTGCTCTTGGGCTTCTTTTTAGGTTACAGCATGTCTGTGCTGCCTGAGGGGTGCCGAAGGGCCCTCCTCTAGTTACATATGAAATCCTTTCCCAAACAGCACTTTTATCCTTTGAAACTCAGACAGTATAGTGAATTGTGTAGGGCCAGTGAATTCACTAATAGATCAACACACAGAGAAGCTAGACTCAGTCTAGTCATACTGTATATCTGCTGTTTTAAATGAAAGGCATTCCAGAATGAAAATGATATCAATTTTAATGAAAAACTCCTAAATACTGTTCTCCACAGACTATAGTTTGAATAGTTGCCTCAAAACAGTGTCACCACTGATTGTTACTACATTACTCATAGTAAGATTGCTTTCTTTTCTTATAGGCTTTCAGAATGTAAATGAATTTAGATTATTATAATAATTTGCCTTTATCTGGCCAATTAAAAAAGAAGAAAGATGGAATAGAGGTATTGTTTTGCAAGTGACAATTAGATATCTTGCACTGCCTTAGGTTGCATTTCTGTTTGTTTTCCTAATTTCCTATGAATGCAGTTTCGTGTTTTTCTTTCTTTTCACTTCTTTTATTTTCCATGGGTATTGTCAGCAGAAAATTTTAATCTAATTATTCAGGGATCATGTTCATGTCATGGAATGCCTTTCTTGCCACAAAGGCTTGTATAGGCTCCCCGTGGTACCTCTGGCTGACATCTTCCTAGCCCTGGAGTTCTTCTATTTGCATCCTGGTTATGTTGTGGAGTAGAAAGGATAAAAGCAACATCTTTCACTTAAAGCTCTTCCAGAACTGTGTTAGCTTTTAAGTGGCTTGACTGGTGAATGTGAAATGCTGTCAGTACCCACCCACACACAATGCAAAATGTCGCAGGTCTGTCGTGGACTGTGGTTTAGGACAGCACATCTGAGGAGCCCCATGATGGTCACACTGTCACAGCACTGCCATGACTTACCAGATATTGCTGTGGTCATGCCTGCCACATCTCAGCTGTGCTCCTGTGAAGCACAAAGGGCTTCAGCTAAAGAAGCGAAAGACACATCACTGCAGTAGGTGGAGCCAAAGCGGAATCAAAAGGTCAAGAGCTTCTGCAAGACAGGATGTATGCTGGCACGTCATCGAGTGGCAGAGTTGGTGAGTTAAGCAGCAGTTGTTGCAGAACAGAAATAACTTCTGGATCAAGTTCCACTTGTTTATTTCACTGTCCTCTTTGTAATGAGCAGTTTGTAGCTTCTGAGGAAATGCAAGAAATTCTGTGGGAGCCAGGCATAAATACATCTTCTGACTTGTAGTACAGAACTGTGTGGTTCATCTGAATCTGGTCCAGGCAGCAATCCATACATCATCAGCTTGGCCAGTCACATGGAGCAGAGTGTCTTCCTGGCCAAGACCAGCTGCACACTAATGGTTCCCTAAAAGATGAGCGCAGGGGAAGAAATACCCTGCGGAAATGAAGGAAAGATTGTTGTGCAAGTCCTCCTCTGTGTTGGAATGGCATTTCTTCAGCAAACTAGAGTTTAGTACCTTAGTATCAAAGTATCAAGTATCAAAGTTTGCCATTATATTACTTCAACTACAGAGAACGTGTTAAGCTGTAAACAGCATCAAACTAAATTTCTTCCTTTTTCTTAAGGTCTAACCATCTTTATTTAACAATCTAGTTCACAGTAGATTTTCAGCAAACAAATTGACCAAAATTTTGATAAGAGCGGTGGAAAAAAACCTCTGAACTTTAGACAGTACAACGTTAATTTTGTAGAGCACAAAAATATTAATTTTGGAGAAAGCCCATTTGTTTTTATTAAGCCCAGAACCTTTTTAAAAAGGGCTTCTGAAACTTAGCCAACTGCAATAGAATAATTGCTTGATAAATCAGTTCTACTGTAATAACAACTGTAATAACAGTTTGCCACATCATACTTATAGGCAACTCTGGTCAAACTGGATGTAAACTTTGTAGACATGGAAGGTAGGATCTAAAAAAGCCCTAGGAGGTTTTTTTAGAGACAGGCAGTATTACATGAAAGTTGAAATGTGACTTGAATCTGAAGGGAAGTCAGAGGTTTGTGACAGTTGAGCACAGGCTCAGGATATGTCGCTGACATTTGGGCTTCATAATATAAATGGTGAGGACAGTCAGGTTCTTGCTGCAGAAAGAATGTTATGCCAGCCAATGCTATTTTGTTGATCTTTTGACCCACTATTAAAATAGTGATGAGATCATTTAGAGTGTCTTTGGAAAACAGTTATTCACTGATATAGTCAAGTCTCCTCTGAGCTTTATCACCTTTCTGACATATTCTGAAGTCATAGCACCTGGTAAAAGATATGTTAACTTGTCAGTTAAATTTGGATCTAGTAGATGTATCTTTAGGTAGTGTTTCATCATTTCCTCCTAGTCAGAGACTGTTTTTTTAGTAGCTATGGACACCTGTGCACAAGATACAGTTCCTATACTCAGCCAAATCTGCTCTCTAAGAGCGGAAGTTGTTTTTCTGATAGATGTTTTCTATTAACCACCAGGGCTGCTCAGCAGATGAGTATTTTATGTCACCATCTCTCATCTTGTCATGCTTGTGGTTTGCCTTCTCTTGCTGCTTATGTTGCAGAGGTCTCTGACTGACCTTCGTTTATGTAGGTGTGTGCTGAGGCTGTGGGAGAAATGGGGCAGGATGCCCTTTTGCCTTCAGACAAAGGCAAAGCAAAGAAGTCAGTTCACATTCCCTGCCCACTCTTTACCTCTCCAAAGCATCCCATTCCCAATGGGTGGAGAAAGGGATAAGAATTTGTTCTCAATGTATGCTGTAGCCACCAAAGAGGATTAACTCTGTGGGAGGTAAGATGTAGCCTATACATATTTGCTGTATCTCCTCCCCAGTCCTTGCCTCTACACCATCTTTCGTGTCAGTGTGATTCAGTGTCAACTTCTTAGCATTTCAGAGCCTTTAATGGTGTAAGCCAAAGCCACTGATACCAGCAGTGAATTCACATTATTTTGGTGAGGAGTGCCTCACTGAATACCTTGGAACACCTCAGAATCGGTGTTTTTGTTAAATACTAGCAAATTATTAAGGGCAGTAGTTGCACCAGGTCAATGCTGATATTTTCTAAAAGTCGGGGTTTTTTTGCAGCCAAAACTTACTGAAAAGCACCCATGGTGACAGAATCATTGAAATCCTAGAAGTAATTAGGGCAATATGAGACATACTTATACCTACCTTGTTATTGGAACTAAACTACACAGCACTGAAAATACCATTATTGGAAAGAAAACTCATTCCGAAATATCAGTCTCTCAGTTTCAAGCATATTTGCTTGAGCAAAATTAACCTCCAGTAGCTTTAGATATTACTGAAACTACACAAAAAACCTTTCAGAACTGGGCCCTTTTATTACTGCAGCAATGAAAAGTAGTAAAAAAAAAAGCATTGTAGTAAATCTTGAGAGAGCAATGAATTTTAAAGAAAAAAAGTATTTAAGAGAAGTGAACACAGTTTGAGATGGAGGCGAAAGCCAACTCTTAATCCTATTTGTGGGCTTTGCTCCAGCTGGACTAGCTGTGTGGGTAAGGGAAGCCAGATTTGGCATTGGGAAGCAATAACACTGAAGAAGACACAGGGATGAAGAGATGCAGTATGCAAGAGCTAACTGTATTCTGTATTTCTGGGAACACTGGGATGAGGAGAGGAGTTTCTCTCTACAGTGTTACGATGCAGGAGCATGGGGAATACTGGCTATAGTGTTGTGAGACAGACTGGGAAACCAGGAAGTTCAGAGGAGGGGATTAAGAATAATTAACGAGTCCTAATAAAAAGGACTAAATGAGTATAGTTTGACTAAGTGGCGACTAATATGGCCTAAGGGATAGAACAGCCCACAAATATCTGAGGGATGGAACTCCCACAAAGAGAGAGAAGAATTATTTAGCATAAAGGATGAATTGTAGCTGTAAGTAAATGGAGGAAATTAGACAAAGAAGAACTTAATCTCAATATTTGGAACAATTTCCTGTATGAGAGTTCAGTTATTGCCACCTGGAATAATCATCCTCAAGAAGTGTGGGAGCCTGTGTTAAACACTTGGCTGTAAAAGTACCACACATACAACTGGAGCCATCTTGATCTTAGTGTGAGAGAATACAAAAGGTCTAGGGGTCTACCACCCTTATGCTCTCTGAAGAAATAACACATCTGTGGACCTGTTTTTTCTTCCCTGATGTTTGGAAGTTTTTTCTCTGAGGAATCAGTTTAAATTCCAAAGTATATTGGCAGATATACCTGAATAGCTGCAGCTGCCCTTGTGCCATGGGAGACTGGCCCTGGCTGCCTGGGAGTAGCTGTGCCAGGGAGAACGTATTTTATCTATTTTATTTGATTAAAAAAAAAAAAAGTGTAATAGGAGTGTTCAGAACCACCAGCACCTTGGATACCTAATGATATATATATATGATAAACATTTTTTTTTTTTTTTTGGTCTTCGCAATTTTGCTTTGTACAGAACCTCTTCTCTTGGGCTGCACTGATACACTGTTTTTTACCTGGAAAAGAAAGGAGCCTCAGGGAAATTGTAAACAGCGTGGAGTCCTTGAGACAGTTCTGCCTATCTAAGGCACAGCTGTATCTGAGGAGCATGTGTCTTCCCCACTGTTCCTTAGTAACATATTCCTGACACTGCTTTCAGTCACATCCCCTTTGTGCTGCTGCTGCTGCTGCTGGCAGTGCCTTTGCAGCAGACTGCAGTGTGCTTGCTGTGTGTGCTGGAGGAACGTGGTACTACTGGGAGCTTACGCAAATGCCATTATGGAGCTTCTTCCAGCTGTAGGGAGATGGTGCAGTGTTGTTTGGGGTGTCTCTTTGCTGCCAGAAGGGCACTTCACTTGCTCTGACATTCAGCCTCATGTGCAAACATTTATACTGAGGCCACCTGAGTTTATAATGCTTTAACATCTGAATTTTATGCAGGTGTAAACAAGTAATGAGTTTGCAAGGTAATGAAAAATTAGGCCTGAGGTCCTCAGGAGCAGGTTCCATTGTTATTTGAATAAGGAGACATGCAACAGTGATTCTAAAATCTTGGGAGAGTTTTTGCAAATCAAACTACAGTTAGAGAAATGAAATTGAAAGCCATGCTATGGCAACAGCTTGAAGGAAGATCAAAGAAAGAACCATGGTGGCATAGAAAAAGAGAGTGGCATAGAGAATCACTCATCTTCATGCTTCTGGCTACATCGTGATTTCATGCCACAGTTTGCTGACCTCCTTTTCCTTTCTTTATGGGTGTTGTGCCAATGTAACTCTTTGTGGGTCAATGCTGTAAATTGGATCACTGTTAGGCTAAAAAGGCAGCCCTTCAGGAGTGTGCTTGCTCTCCCGACATGACAAACCATGACCAGCAGGGCAGCAGAGGGAACTACGGTTCATCTTGGCTGTTACATGTGAGCCTTGGCTTTTGAACTGAAGTAATTGGACATGCCTTTTCCATCAGCTGTTCCAACAGCCAAGGTTTGCATTTATATAGGAAAGATGTGTACTATGTCTATTTATGTTTATGTATACTTTGCTATGTAAATTATATTTAGCTCTTTTCATTACAGAGGTAAAAATTACATTCTATGGATGTGTGTATAAAGAAACAGGTAAAGGCTTAACCTCTTCAGCCCTCTGCAAGGGAATTCTTGGGTTGCTGGTTAAATGGAGTCCCAGCAGGTATTTGCATCTCTCTCTGCCTCTCCCAGTTACACACGTGCTGCGTGTTTTGCTCTTTCATAGCCACTCCTGCACGTTAGATAGCATGGAAGAAAGAAACAGATGCAGCTTCTTTCAGAAAGCTGCAGGGAGAAGTTTGTAACATGCTATTCAAAACCTCCTGTAAATGAGAAAAGTATTGCTAGAGCGGGTACCCTGTGGGGTGGGAAGTTACTGTGAAATTCAGTCGAGACACCTCCTCAGATGAAGTCTGTTCAGCAGTAATAGCGTTTGCCCGGGGAATTGTAACTCCACCATTCCTTCCGGCTTTGTGCCATCTCTGTGGATTTGGGGAACTGCATGTC